AAATGACAATGCAACAGATGCTAAAGAGCATGCTGTTTCTGCTATGGGCAAAGATAATATATCATATGAGGCCACAAAGCCACTGACAAAAGATTTACCAGCAAATGGATTATTAGATCATGCAATTTCATCTGTTCTAATCAAAACACATGCATTTCTTCACAACTTTTAGGGAATGTCTATTATGAGGCACCAGGATCCTTCAGCTGTCATAACCCTTGCTCTGAAATCAATAGAGATTTTGCAAGAAACTACCTTGTACCATCTCGGTGACTTTTTATTATCACAGTACTCTGACAAAAAGTTCTGTCAGAAATCTGACGGAGTGTCAGGTTTTTCAGTTCTCGTCCAGTGAAGTTTCAGCCATACCATTAGATATGATAGCTGTCTTTTCTTGGCTACATGACGGCGGATGTTAGTAGCCAGATGGAGCAATCTGTGAAGACTCTGGTTCATTTATTCCAGGCAGGAATCACGCACCCTCTGCCCACTCATTCCTACTTAGATACAAATGTGTACAGCCTCACACAGAGCTTGTAAAATCTGGCATATGCTAGATAATCAGAGCAAAATCAAGTCCTACATTAAATCCTGCATTAATAGACAGTTAAAGATGATTGGTTACATTTAGAATAAACCTGGATATAAGTAAGGTTCTTGCAGTGGCATTTAACTAGCAATGGTGCCATTCAGCACCTGTTACTATTGTTTCTTGCAAAAATAAATTCATTTGCTACAAAAATATAGGACACTTATATCTCACAAATTCACCAAGAATACAGACCACCATGGTAATTTTATCTGCATCTATCTGAGAGCACCAGTAAAAGTTACTTTTACCCTGGAATTCATCATCACACATGGAATGCACTCATCTTTAAATGTTATACAGTCCTCCCCACCTTACTTTAATGTATATGATATGCACAGCTAATTAAACCACCTAATTTTGCTACTGCTAATTATATTCTAGTATATAATTTTAATATTGGATTGATTGGATTTATTTCCACATAAAAAAAAAAAAAAAAAAAAAAAGAAAGACTAACAGACTGTGAAGTTAATGGGCCAGGTGAGACACCCAGGTCACACCTCACTGAGGTAAACTTAATGGGGGAGTTGCAGCTGGCACTGCTGGGCCTCTGAGGATTTTTTTAGCAATAGCACAGTGTTCCTGCAGTACTTCAGTGATATTTAGGCAAGAATGTTAACTCCAGAAAATTCATCAAGTTTCACTAAAACAAGCACATTAATCTTGTCTTCTTAAAGATCTCTTGCCTGAGAACAGCAGCCCCTTTGCCTGTCAAGTTTAGTATCAAGAATATGAATGTTGATGTCAGAAGTTTGAGTAGCTCCTTTAGGATCTGTCAAAATATCTTGCTGGATGCCTTCTGAACATGCCCAAAAGTGATTTTCAGTCTTCAAACTGTTATCATCCAACCATTTTTTTTCAGAATCTGATATAGGACAAATCCCTCAGTCAACCCCATTTACATGTGAAGTTACCACTTCAGAGTTTTGATATTTAGTAATTTGTAAAGGAAAAGGAATTTATTTCCTAGGGGTAAGATGTATGATCTTCAACTACAGTTGAATGGATTTTCTATAACCTCAAGCCTTGAGTCAAGTATATCAATCTGGAGACCAAGGAAAAAATGTATTTAAGTAAAAGCAGATTATTACACTAAAACCAAAGAGAACTGAGCTTTAATATGAAATTCTGTATTTTCAGGACAATACTGGGTAAAAAAATCTTCACATAAACTACAGTTACTCTTTCTTACATAAATCATAAAGTAGCTACTTGCAATTTCTATGTACATTAGTTACATTACAAGGATTAGCAGGCTGTTGCACTGTCAGTTTTTCACATGAGTAGATCATTTAATTAGATTCTAGGACTTGATGTTTTACATATAGGATTGAAGATATTTAATAAGACTATTGTAATAATACTGTATTTGGAAGTAAAATGATGCGCCTGTCCAGAAACTCAGAGCAGGAAATGCTAGATCTCAGATGAGTAACTCCGACAGTTTTGAAATTGGGCAAAACCGTGCAAGTAGAAAGGAACAAGGAGGCAGAAATTGGCTAAGAGATATGGGGTGAGAAATGCAAATTGGAAAGAATGTCGAGATGACACTAGAGAGATGTTCAAATAAACCAGGGGGGGTTGGCAAGGACCTTCTCATGTCTCTAAGTCAGAGGAACTGTCTTATTATTTCTGAAGTTCACAGTGATGCTCTACAGATGTAAACGTGAGGCGCTCCAAGACAGCCGAGAGCTACATCCAGCTTACCCAGATAATTGATTAGTGAGTTTATTTGTCTTCATCCACAGGGGCAGGGATCAGCTTGTGGTCAGAAGAATAATTCAGGTGGTGACAGCCCGTTCTTGGCCGCCTTTCACTTCTCCCCTCTGACATAATTAAACCTGGCCCCCTTCCCATAGTCCTACGACAGAGCAGCACACACGAAAGCTGCGGCTAGGGGCAGGCTGTCTCTACTGAAGTCACTCAGCTGGCCTGATACCAGAAGGTCTCTAAAGCAAAGGGGCAGCTAGGAGCAGATGCGTACTTTTTTTCTGGGCAGGAGCCTCTCTTCAGTCACTCCTTTTTCCTCCTAGGAGCCCCTCAAACATGGCAATGAGTAGGAAGGGGTTTACCAGATGGAAAACTGTGCACAGACAACGTAAGCATCAGCCTACAGAGGGTCCTGTAGCCCAGCACAGCAGGTGGAGCGGGCACTGCTGCCGTACAACATGCACAGTTAGATACGGCAAAACCTGCTCTCAATCTTCCACTCTCTGATAGGGGAGTCACTTGAAGGTTAAAAGAGCCTCAAGTTATTTCTTGGAAATAATGTCAGCTCATATATCGGGAATTTCTTTGCTGCTGTTAGCTCATTTTTCAAAAACATCAAACCTATCTCCCCTTGTCCTTTCAATGGTCTCTTTAGAGAAGTTTCAAGGTACAAAAATGTATGAAATCACTATATCATAAGCATTGTTGGCTGCCTCTCTAACCATTTTTCTCCCTTTGGTGCCTCATTCTAATATTCCCCAAGTAGCATAATATTTTTTCCAGAACATTATATATGATACACAGACTGCTGAAGAATTTTAAAATAGGGTAAGAAATTTTCATAATGGTTAATGAGCAAAAGATTATCCAAATGTGTCGATCTGAATCTTTGGAGGAGTATTAAATTTATCCAGAGAATTAAATTCACATCAAATGAACATAAGGAAATATATAGCATAATCTAGGACTGTTTTGTTTTTGCATAACTGGCATATTTACTGAGAAGTCCTTTGGTAATTCTTACTTTGTCATTATTACTCAACATCACAGAGTTTTGCAGTTTTACAGACTGGAGTTTTAAGTTCATTTTATGGGATCCTAGAATTCTAAGAAAAAGAGTTCCTAGATTTAGATAATTTAGCAGTAATTTAGATAATGCAGGATCATGCTTTATTAATTTAAAATAAAACTGGTGGATGATACAGATATACTTTTTCCTACAGTCTCATATTGCAAACAATTTCTAAGATCCTTTGTTTTTAAAACATGGGACCACAGATAATATGCAAAACTCAGATCCAAAACAATCAGAGGCTGTGGTGGGAGTTTTAAAGAAAAAATGCTCACGATAAACTTTTTCTTTTATTACTCACATATATGATTAACCCTGATTTTAAGACCTTTTTCTTTCTAGCCTATATAGAGGTTTATGGAGATCACTTGCCTACCCAGGACAACTCAAGTCAAGGTTCTGAATTTTTTTAGGCAAATATTCTAAATATTGTCCTCCAATTCAATGGAAATTTCACAGTTTTTTTTTAAAAAAGTACAAAAGTATACTTTTACTCTAAAATCTGTCAAAGAATACAAAACCAAGCAAATAAAAGAACTGGGGGTAATCCCAAGCACAAATCCAGGCTGGGTGAGGAGTGGCTGGAGAGCAGCCCTGTGGAGAGGGACTTGGGGGTAGCAGTGGATGGAAAACTGCCTGTGAGCCAGCACTGTGCGCTCACAGCCCAGAACCCACCCGTGCCCTGGGCTGCAGCCAGAGCAGGGGGGGTAGCAGGGCCAGGGAGGGGATTCTCCCCCTCTGCTCTGCTCTGGGGAGACCCCCCTGCAGTGCTGGGGCCAGCTCGGGGGCCCCCAACAGCAGAAGGACACGGAGCTGCTCGAGCGGGGCCAGAGGAGGCCACGGAGATGCTGGGGGGGCTGGAGCAGCTCCCCTGGGGGGCCGGGCTGAGAGAGTTGGGGGGGTTCAGCCTGGGGAAGAGAAGGCTCCGGGGAGACCTTCGAGCGGCTTCCAGTGCTTAAAGGGGGGACAGGAGAGGTGGGGAGGAGGGACTCTGGATCAGGGGCTGTAGGGATAGGGTGAGGGGTAATTGGTTTAAACTGTAAGAGGGTAGATTTAGATTAGATAGAAAGAAGAAATTCTTCCCTGTGAGAGTGCTGAGACACTGGCCCAGGGTGCCCAGAGAAGCTGTGGCTGCCCCCTCCCTGGAAGGGTTCAAGGCCAGGTTGGACTTTGAGCAACCTGGGCTGGTAGAAGGTGTCCCTGCCCATGGCAGGGGGGTTGGAACTGGAAGATCTTTAGGGTCCCTTCCAACCCAAATCATTCTAAGAGTTTTCAAGATATACAAATCCATCCAAATGTAGGTACTTAAGGCCCAAGTTTCTGGAGATTTTTCAGTCATCCACTTTATTTTACTAAATTGTAAGAAGAACTGCAAGGTGTGTTTCACAGAAATCTTCTGAAATCCATGTGGCTTATCTTCACTGATATGTTGCTTTCCCTGTTAAAATTCCTTATACCTACCCCGAATAAGGTAAAATTATCTTTCCTGAACTGTTGTGACAAACCTGCTACAGCAGAATATCATCACTGACACACATGACGTTAATTTGTCTACTTGTCATTAATAGGGTTTTACCAAGTCTCTCCTATCTTCTCTCACGTCTTTTACCCAGAGGTGATGCTCACCTTTTCCCATTTGCGATCATTGTTCAGTACTATCACCACGAGCCTGGGGTGTGCCTGATAACCATCCGCTGTGAAGGACAAATCTTTACCTTCCCAAGTCACATTCATCATAAACCTAGAAGGCAAGAAAAAAAAAGTTCATTGAAAAATTAATGAGCTGTCCAGCAGTTAATGAGCAAGCTAGTTCAACCATCAGAACGACTGATGAAATACATGCACCAAATCCTGATAATGCTGTGAAAAGCCTACGTTTGCAGCATTGGAGTACAAGCATTTCAAGGCAGTCCATATAAGGCAAAGCAAAATATTGTTTACATATAATTTTTAATGCAGACATCATTTTTAAAGCAGCTTCTACATTATGTATGACCCGTACACTGCATGAATAATCTTTCTGGCACTTTGCACAGACTCAACAGTTTTTCAGGACCATTTTAAACACATCTACATCAGCTCTGTATGTAACATACTACTGTCTCACTAGAGTAACACTCGGAAGTGTGTGCATATACTCCGGCTTCACTTGCCTAGACCTCCAACAGTCCTGTCAGCCCCTCTCAACACTGTAGCTATACAGTGTCTTTGTGACACTTGGATAAATTCCACTAATGCCCTCAGCCAAAAACAGATATGAAAACTTTGAAGGCATTGATATTATTTCAGTTCAGTAATTTCAGAAGGAAAAAGATATATATTTCAAACTTTTTTGTATCTAGGTTAATTTTCAATGGTTTTCAAAAGATATATAAACTAATCAGGACTCTGAATAGAAAACAAAATTAAAGGCACTCAGAATAAAATATATAGGGAGAAGGAGGATTTTTAAATTTTTGTTGAAAATGTCGGTTCAATCCCAAATTTCCTGCCTTTAGACTTACCAGGTTGGGCACTGAGTCAGTAAAACTGTTTATTTACCACAGGCTCTGTGTTCAACGACAAAGGAGAAGATGTTCTCAGCTGAAAATTTTGTATGAATTTACATCAGCAGAAGGAAATTATTCGGTACCACAACAAGAGGTACCTCTCCTAAGATGTGCCATGGTACTGTTGCTTGCTTTCCCTGTTCTCCTGAACTGCCATGCCAACCTGCATCTTCTACGGACAGAACACTGCTACTTATAAGCAATCCTGTCATTCGCAATGATCACATCATCTCTACCGAGTCGTGGCTCTGACCTGGGCTGTGCCCCCGCGCGGCACTCGGGAACTCTGGTCAGTAACACTGCAGGTGGCTGCACGACCACCAGCCACGGGCCAGCAGCGCTCACAGCCAGCCACTGCAGCGGACCTGCCCTCCCTGGGGTAGGCATCTCCTTACTCTATTCAGCACCTTAGACACATCCTTCAACCCTACAGAGCTCTACAGTTTTTCTAGCCACAGATGTGCTCCAAAGGTCTTAAATTCCTTACTGAGTTTATACCAATTCTAATATAGTCTACCTAGTTTATCCATTTTCTGATTAATATGCTTAGTTTTGAATTTCTAACTCTTGCTTTCCATTCATCATTGAACCATGTACCCTCTCTTTTCCAAAGCACTGTCCTGTTGTCAATTCAGAAATGACAGCATTCTGGCCATCTAACAAACTTGACTTTCCTCAAAAATAATTTTATCTCAAAATTTTCCACAGATTTATAACACAAATCCATATTTATATTTGCTCCAGTTCCACATAACTTCAGTGTTTCTCAGTTAGAACAGATTGTTTTCACTGCTCCAGGGTCAGAAAAAAGTCATGAGAAACTGCAGTTTTTATTTAAAGTAAAAATACAGGGAACTTAATGCCAAGAGTCTGAACTACCACGGCACACAGGTCAAGCTCCCTGGACTGTGAGATTGAAAAAATATATCATTTTATACACTATCTGAAATTCTGTCACCTAAAAAAAATAAGACATGAAAGGGAAGAGAGTAAAAGGATTGTATTGTCATTGGTCTTCTTTGGTCAGGCTGAAAAAAATCAAAACTCGAGACTAACAATGTGAGTATGACAGGGCTATCCTGCGGGTGAGAGGTAAAACTGCAGTTCAGAATCTTGGAGATCTCATGGGACTTCCAGATGATAAATGTGCCCTCCACCTCGTATCCATGGTCTGATGTTAATTGCACTGAATTGCACTAAATTCTCAGTGTATTTCATTGAAATAAATTCATCCTAAGCTTTCACCTAGGTGCTCTCCTGGAATTCAGCTGAACTCCAATATCATTCCATCCTGCGGACAGATGTGTTTTGAAGGGCATTAAAGTTACTTTAACTAGACTTCATACATTGCTCTGTAATGTTTTATCCCCAAGAAACTGATACTGGTTTACTGTTTTGTTTTGTTTTTTTATAGCAGTAGTAGTAGCATGGTCTACTGGTTATTCTGACATAGAAAAATTTCTTCAGCTCCACACTCAAAGGAGAAGGCTTTGAATTGACATAGCTGCCTGAAAACCCATATGCAGAAGCACACTAAATAAAAGTACACAGACCCAGGAGAAATAATGGCATCATTTCATAACAGTTAATAATTAAATGTACACTGCCCTAACCAGCCATATTAACATCATTCAGCACCTGTTTGACAGCAATTTGTAAATTCACCCATTGAAATAACTCATACTTTGTGACAGACTTTCAGTGTGAAAATTTTCCCCTTGGCAGAACTTCACTTTTCAGTTGAACTAATTTCCCATATATTATGTCTATTATCCAGCACTGAAAGAGCTTGCTTGGGAATAAAAAGCTTGTTTGCCACCTTGAGAGGAAGCAGCAAACCACCAAATAGAATTTGCTTCTACATACATGTAAGAAACCAGCAAAACATTCACGCACTGCTGAAAATCACATGCATTGTGACCCAGGGAATAAAATTTCGAAGAAGTCACTGCAAGGTGATAACAAGGACATACTGTGAAAACATGCACTACTTGTATTCATACTTCTGCACCCTCCCTCACAGGTTCCCTCCCAATTCATACACATGAAATAACACCTGGCACCAGTGAACACACTGTCTTAGAGGGCTAGACAGAAATCACCTCATTTCAATAAAAATGAAAGCTGAGCATTTTGTGTCCTCCTAAGGGCTGGACCACAAACATTCATGATGTATTACATCTGGCTTCTGTGTCTAGTTGGGTTTTTAATTACATCGCCATTGGTGACTGGACTTCAGTTGAATCTTTATTTTACGTAGTTTGGTAGTATCACTACCCCAGATTTCAAACACCACTCATCGGATTTTGGAATTAATTTACAAATGCTCTAGCCTAGAATCTAGTCAAGGGCCATCACAAGATGCAGTGCTGTAGCTGCAGTGATGCTCAAGTGCTCCAAAAAGAAAGATGAACCACAGATCTAAAATGAAAAACTGAACTCAGAATATATTTTTAAACTGTGTGAATCTATCAGCCATTTAATAGTGACATACATTTTGCAAGTTAAAAAAAAGTCCCTAATTTGTAAAAGCCTCTTAAAATTGTATTGTCTGAGCCATACACAGAGTGATCGGTGAGTGAGGCAGTCTGAGCTACCCCAGTTTCTCAGTATTTCAGCAGTAAAACAGAACTTCAAAATGATCCTTGTTTTCCCAAGCACATTCTTTTGTACAAAATTCATCAAATGCCTGTGTTGTTCAGAAACCAATGCCCACAATCTGTGTTCCCTTTTGAATTGTCATTTGTCCTCCACAAAGGACAGAAGTCCTACTCTGCTTTTACTGGCCAAGATCCTGAACTGCTTGTCTCTATGAAAAACAATCATGTGTTTTTCTGTTCCTGGTTAGGAAGAGTGAGGAAAATAAAGTATTTATATTTTATGTTATTCTTACAGAGTTTTAAATTTGCCCAATATTAATTATGTGCAATATGGCTTTGGCTTCTGAATTGGTCAAAATATATTTCTGAAGTAGTTTTCAAATTGCCTATTCTTGTTCTTAACTGAGGTGCTCAATTATTTAGGCTTGTTACTTTAAGGTGGCAATTCAGCATACACCTTGGATTAGTAGTTAATCTGCTTTCATACCTCATTAACGCTCTAACTTTTGCAAAGACATGATAGCAAGAGACCTTGTGATACTATTATGACACTGAAGTCTTAAATAACTTTTGCAAGCTGAACTCTGTGAGTAAGATTCCCCATGTGATACATGTATGAAAAATGGGATTTGGGGGTCAGAAGTTATGGTATTCTCGCACTGAATCCAAAACAGGTTTTTATCAGGCAAAGAATCAAGCCTGTACTATATATTTTAAACATTTATACAATTCTTTTTTTCTTGTCACCTTCCCCAACAAAACTGAAAAGAGAAGTGTTGAAACATCAGAGCAGAACATTGTTCCCGTTTTATTTACGGCATGCCTTTGAAGCACCAAGGTTACAAACTGCTCTCAAGGTTTCCAACTTAATTTTTCTAGACTCAGAAAGAGTATTTCAGACAAAGCATCAGATTAAGGCCAAAACTGTGCAATACTTATCCATGTCAAAATTATGACTCTACCCAGAAAGACAGAACACATTTGAATAAGGTGGAGTTTCTTACCTTGTAAATATTATATCACAACCATCAATTCCAATTAACGAATGGGGGAAGCCTTTGCCAAAAAGGTCAGACCCCAATTTTTAGAAGACCTCCGTTTTTAGGAGACCATTTGCTAGGGTACAATATCACTGAAACAGAAGCACCTTTCTGGCCAGTCTCCTTACAGAAGACATGGACCTCCTTTGCCAATAAGGTGTTTGGTAAGGATTTCCTATACTGTGTGAAAACAGTTGAAACCCCAGCAAAGTTGTAATCACTCCTGGAGCAGAATCTTCAAGACTTTCTGCTTCTGTGTTATACAATAGCAAACATATTTGCAAGCCATGGGATTTCTTTTGATGTTTACCATATATATGTATATACATGTATGCAAAATACACAAGTATTCACCTAATAGATGCAAGGATTTAAGAGCAAAAGCAAGAAGGCTTAGTGGATTCTGTGGTGGACATTTTTTTAAGTGGGGAGGGGAAAAAAGCCTATGTAAATTATAGAGATCACTTTGTCACAAACAAAGATCAATCCTAGCTCCGGCTTCATAGATTTCTTTGGGGGGTGTGAGAAACCAAACAGCAACAGAAGGAAAGC